TGAGCAGTGTTTTTCCTTGAAGATGGTCTTCTCTTTGTAAGCTTAAGAAGTTTGTTTGCCAAATCTTAGTTTGTGTTTTGTGTTAAGAGATTATATTAAATGAACACAAAACTCTTGAAAACGCTCCATTGGATGGGAGCCTGCTTCTCCAAAAGACGTGCACCTACCACATCAGAGGTGGCAACTTTTCTAACAGTTGTCTTGTAGTCTTTTCACATACGCAGTCTTGCAGGGACCAGGTCCCTTGCAATGTGTTCTTAGTGAGTTCTTGAGAAGACTTGCTAACTCTCTCTCTTTTTGAATGAATGGATCTGCTTGTTGTTTGTCATTTTGACTATCAACCAAAAAGAATTATTGTCCATTGGACAAACAACCTCGTCCATTTCTATTGGTGGAGTACGCCGACGACTTCACCAACCCACTGACAGGACAGCTTTACAGTTGTACATCATTATAAATCTGGACGAGAGAACTCTGCCAAGGACCGGGTCCCTGCATTTGTGAGAATCATCAAAACACCTAGAATATAACATTTTTCCCCTTTTTGATGATGACACACAAATATCCCTCACGCTGAGTTTATTCATTCATTGACTTTGTCGTCAGTCCCAATAACAAGGATCTGGTCCCTTGTTAGATCCCTAAGTTTGTTAAATCATCAAAACTTAACATCAGCTCTAAAATAACAAAGTTGCTTCAGTTTCCTGAACATCTGAATAAGGAAAAAATCTCTCTAAGAGGAAAAACCTGAAACAACTAGTCAGCTAGATAATACATGAATTGACATCATTAAGTGCTCCATAATTTACGATTGATGGTTGAACATGTGAAAAATAAAAGGTACACAGAAAAGAATTAAGAGAATGTATGGAGACTAATTTCACAAGCCTGATTCCTTATATAAGCACACTTTACAAAGTATATAACTGCATATTTCCAGTATGGGAAACTCTCAGAGAATAGATATGTAGACATAGCTATCAACATCTATGTTGCTCAGACTATTCAAACATGTTGATGGATGTGTGTCGAATGATTCGAACTGGGCACCACGTAAGTTTTGAGCATACCCTTGTCACTGCGCTACTAGTCTCCATTGGTTCTAAGAGTGTTCAAAATACTATATATACCAATATAAAGCAACATAGATGTACATTTAACTCTCTAGCTAACACTCATTGAGCTTATCACATACATGTGATTGATTCAGGGATTGGTGAAGTGCTTGATAAATATATCTACAAGATAATCATATCAACTTCAAAATTCCATGTCTCCTTACTTGGAATTAATCCTACCTTTTGTCAATTTGTGTAATTCAATGAATACAAATTAAATACGTTGCAAAGGAGATGAACATATGCATTCCAAATGTGAATATCCTATATAAACAGTGTCTTTGGTGAACATAATTCGCACCAAAACCAATACTAGCCATACAAAGATTATCCACTACAGTTAAACAAGACCAAAAAAAATAAAATTATAGTAAATCAACATACGTACCCAGATTGTTCAACAGTAAACTCGCCTGAAGCAATACGAGCAGATAATTCAGCTCGCCTTTTCTCTTCTAAAAGCTTTTCCACCTTTTTCACTCCTTCATCTACCGACTCAGGCTGTTTTCCATTTGAAGAACACCTAATTGTAAAATTTGATGCACTACCATTGAATTTAGGTGAGAAAGTGAGTCTAGATTTAGAGTAATGCTGTGCTGGAAATTGAAAAAGAGGAAGAGAAGAAGCCATGAAAGAGAAAAATGGAGATAATGAAGAATGCAGTTGACAATGTGGCGCACTCAACAACCACTAAAAACGAAGAGAGAAGTAAGTTGGAATTATGGAGTGTTTGTTAGTGTAAAGATACCGGCAGCCGTCTATAGGTATCTATTTTGTTTTGGTTATTACGCCAACTAACCAAATTATTTGAGATGCGTTTAGACCATATTTTGGATTTTCTGTTGTAAGTTGTAACTAATTTAGCACATGTCACATGGTGTGAACTTTACTATCTAAAAAGTTATTTGTGTCGAAAAAATTTATTGTTGACGTGTGGATAGTGAGTCCATTGTTTATTTTAAAGCTAGAATTAGAAGTAGAAAATAGAACTACAACAAAAAAAAGAAAAGAGAATTATATTGGTCCCAACATACGTAATAAATAGAGTAAAGACATAAATACACCATCAAAGTTGTCCCGTATTTTCATAAAGACACCTTAATTTTCAAAGTGTCCTATCACCCCACAGAACTATTTAATATCTTTGTAAATGGGCCATTATGACCCATTCCCTCGTCTATTTAGTGGCGCGTGTTGCTCACTCCCTATGATGAGAAAAGACCCGACCCGACCCTGTTCTTCGAAGAAAGTCATTTCTCCTTTTCTTTTCTTATTTCTCAATTTTCCCTAAAATCTAAAGAAATAGAAAAGTTTTCTCGTCGTGTTGTTGTTGATAATCTTGTTGTTTATGTGTCTTGGTGAAGATTCTTGGAGATTGAAGGTCTAAC